CAAGCAAATGAGTGAAACCCAAATTATTTATTGAATTAAGGGAAAATAGACAAATATACTGCTCAACTTTGCGATTTTGAGTAAATATACCTCTTGTTAATAAAATTGGTGCATATTTATCTTTTTTGTTAATAAATTTATATTTATTTAATTAAAAAATATATAATAGTGATTTTTTAATTTCAAAAATGTCACAATGTTTTTTAATAATCATCATATATTACTAAAAGCGGGAAGCTCCAAAGTGCAAAGTTGGATTATCACTTTACCCCTACACTATATAAAAATATTATAAATTTTATATACATTAATTAATTATTAATTATTAATCCAACTCAAAAGTTAATTTTTTATTTATCAATTACTATGAGTTATGTCTCTTCAATGGCTCAATCCCATTTTCCAACAACCATAAAACTTCAATTATCGAAACAATATATTATTTTTTGTTTTCAAAGCATTTAGTTAGTTTTCCGTATGATTAAATATTTTCAGTTTTCTAACCATTTAACTAATTGAATAGTATACATGACTTTTTAATAAGTAGTACCTGGACATGTGCGTTGCATGTATATTCCATAATATATGGTTGCATAATATATGTTTATATTTATAAATTTATGTATAAATTAAAAAAATATTTGATTGTAATATAAATTGAAAAACATGTATAAGATAAGAAATCAAAATAGATACCCTCAAATTTCAAACTATAAGCATAATAAGAATATGTATTTCTAATGAGTTTAATCAATCATACCTCGCAATAATCCCTGCAATTTGCACACAACAACTTCTATTTAAAAAAGGAAAGACAAAATTAGGAAAAATAGTATCAATAAATTGGAGTGAAAAATGTAAAATTGTAATAAGAGGAAGAGAAGAAAAAATCAGAAGAATATATATACCTACCCATGAATAAGGAAGTATGTTGAGTAAAAGAAGAGTAATGCAAAAGTGTGAGCTGATATATTGAGGAAATTGACAAATATAATAATCTGTATTGAATGATGAAAAGACAACTCTTCAATTTCTACAAAATTTTTATAACTACGAGCTCAAGATAATATAAATTTATTAATTTAATAAATGACATAAAATAAATAAATAAATAACATATATTGTATGTATGTGTAGTTAATGGGGTAGTGAAAAAGACTCTTTCTGAAATCATTTTTTATCTCTTTAAAGTATTTTTGAACTTATTATATTAGTGCTATAGAAAATCATATAAAGTCATAAGCTACTGCTAAGTTTTTATAGTAATTATTTTATTAAATTATATACCTATCATTTATTTTTAATTATTTATAATCATTCTGGAAATGTATAAACTAATTTTGGAAAGCTTGTAAAATGAGAAATTATTATTTCTTATCATTAGTTTAGCTATTATTAACATTTAAAAAAGCAACCTCCTTTAAATATTAATTGTTTCTAAATTAATGTAGCCAAGAATTTGAAATGTTTTGACGTTTTATTTATCTAAACACGCAGAATTTTATTTTTGAACCTGAAACATGTAATTAACCCTTGGGTGAATTATAATTTTATTTTTACTATTTGATTAATTAAATGATTTATAACATTTTAATATATGTTAATTACTAAATGTAAGTTTTAATAATCAAAAAAGAAATTGGCTATAAAAAAGATACGCATAAAGAAAAATATTACAAAATGTCTAGGTGGTGTAACATTAAATTTATAGAAAAAATTACAAGTTCAAATGAAAAAGAAAGAAAAGTAAATAAAGACATGACATCCATAATAAAAAACATCACATTAAAATATATAGACAATAATATTGTCATATTAATTGAATTACATTTTGTTAGAAATCGACTTGCTATAGACAAAATATTTCACATGTATAAAAAACTAAAATCATAAAAAAATAAACAGAAAAGAAAGCATGACTATGTTAAAAATACAGATACATTATATTTCTTGAACTCTATATTAAAGGATCTGTATATAAAAAATTAAATATGTATTCTAATACAATAAAATTCAATGTAACATTTGCACTAATTTTTACTTTACATTATTTTTTATTTTATTTTTACATGTGCACTAATTTTTGTACCTCTCTGTAATAGTTAAGTACATGGATTTTATAAACATTTGAGATTACATATAAAAAGGAAAAAGTACAAACATGTTGTTTTAAAAAGATAAATGATTATCAAACAACGAAAAATACGTAACTATAAATCTTTATTAAAGACTTGCTCTTTTACGGGTCTAGTTGTGAAAATATTCTGCGAGATTTAACATGCTTACTCTTAAAATAACTAATTATAAATATAAATTGTGATTACCTTGATTATATTTATATCCTAAAGATAGAAGAAATGAAGAATATAAAAATATAATAACCAATTACGACATTATATTTAAAAACTCAAAAAGATGGAGATATGAAAAATAAAATTCACTTACAACTTCATATTGGAGATTATTCATCTTGTAACTATGATAATTTTACATATTTCTCAACAAAAAGAAGATGAATATGCATGAAAGTTTAAAGAATACAAATAAATGAATCAGTAAGAATTCTTACAATTAAAAATTGGTAATGAAATTTTACAAATGATGTAGACTAACCTAATGTAAAATGAAAGATTAGAGCAACATATTTGGATGAAAGAAGGAATATAAATAATGTTGTAGTGAGTGTCTTTGATAGATCTTACATTAAGTTGAGGTACATGAATATATGATTGTGTTAAGTCGAGGTACATGAGTATATGATTGCATTAAGATCTTGGTTGATGCATGAATTTAAATATAACTATTACTTAATATTTAATTAAATAAATAGATATTAATATTTAATTTATTTTAGTGCTAAGATAAGGGCAAAATGGTAATCCAACTTTGAGGTTAAGAGCTTCCACTTATAATAATACTAGTTTTGACACATGTGTGGTGCACGTGAATATCAAACCATGTACCACACTATTTTAAAAAATAATGTGAATATTATTAAACAAAAAAATTGTCACTCTAAAAAACTCTTAGTTACACCAAACTTGAGGTATTAGATTATTTAAACATTCATGTTAGGGAGTGTTCTAATTTCACTGAACTTTGAGATTGTCAATGCCTGTAAATCAAACTTGAGGTTATAAGAAGAGAAGAATAGAAAACGTCATTAAAAAAAATAGTTTAAAAAATGTGAGAAAACCCCTCTTTTTATAGCCAATAAAGGGTAGTGTATGAAAAACTGTTCATTGTGCCTTATCAAAAAGAAGTCACAATCCTTTAGAAAAGTCACAACCCTTCAAGAAAGGTCACAACTCATCGGAAAAGTCATAACTCTTAGAAAAAGTTGCAACCCTTCGGAAAAGTCACAACTCTTTGGAAAATTAACAACCCTATAAAAAACTCACAACTCTTTGAAAAGGTCACAACTCATTAGAAAAGTTATAACTCTTCGAAAATGTCACAAGGTTCAATGCGAAAAGGTGTATGCCTTTAATATGATATAATATAATACACATAAATAATATAATACAATATAAAATCTAGAAAATATACTACATTTGGTGTTTTTATGTTTGGGTATTATAATAATTTAACATTTAAGTTAATTAGTTCATTCTTTAAGGTAGTATAGATATAGATATAAAAAAAAATAGATATAGATTGGTGTAGTTTTAATTTGAGATGAAACTTTAAAAAAAAATTCTTTTAATTTGTTGATCATACGTAGAATATATAAAAATGTCTTTTAACTTTGTGTCTTAAAGATGTGCATCCACCCCATGAAAAAGAACATTCAATATTGAACTGGATAAAAATAAACGTACAACAAATAAATTGGAAACAAAAGACTACTTATTAAATGTTGTTTGGATTCTTCAAACATGTTTTGGATCAAATACTTTTTCACCAACAGTTTGAGACTTTTCAGATTCTGAAACCAAGTTGTAGTTTGTGCAAAGGAAAATCATTGAACTTCTTGTCAAGTAGAAGTTGTTGCAAAAGTATATTTTATGGATATGAAAATGAGTACATATTAATTATCAAGATGACTCTTCTCGTTTGAAGTTAAGTTATTTCATTCTCCTTGTTGCAACAATTTTTGTTGATCTGTCTAATTTACCCACAAAAAATATTGTAATTGCATAATTGAACAACTCTCACAATCTTTCTTGTTTTTAGAAGAAGAAAAGAAAACTTACAAAATTTGTAGTTTAAAAGTGTGAGAAAACCCCTCTATCTAATATGAAAAGGTAACTTTTTGGAAATGTCATAACTCATCGAAAAAGTCACAATTCTATAAAAAAAAAATCACAACCCTTCGAAAATGTCTCTACTCATCAGTGTGAAAAGGTGTTTGCTTTAAAATATAATATAGAATAAATAAATATAAAATTAAATATAGAATATATACTAAATTGTGTGTTTTAAGTTGGGGGTATTATAGTAATTTAACATTCAACTTAGGAAGTTCATGCGTAAGGTAGTATATATATAAGTATATATATATATATGAATATATGATATGATATGATATATATATAAATAAATGCGTGTAAGCACTTTTGGCTTGTCCACTTATAAATAAATGTGTTTTCTTCCAATAGCTCCAACTCTATCTGCAACAATGTTTGCAGGTTTCTTGTCCCAACCTGGAAACTCTTCATATTGATAGGGCTAACAGCATTAGAGCTCTATGCTCTCACCAACTTCCAACTAACTACTTCTGCAAACTTCAAATATTGGGAGTATGGAGTTGTGTAAAATTGAGAAACTTGATGTCTCCATTAGTGGCTAAAGGTCTTCTGAATCTCAAATGGCTACATATTAGAGACTGCCAATCAATGGAAGAAGTGATCACAAAAGGGGAACAACATCATGACCTTATTTCCCCGATTGGAAACCTTGTTCCTTAACTTTCTGCTTAAGTTGGACATTTCTTTGAGTGTGCTATTAAATTTCCATTTCTCGAGGAAGTGCGAATTTTGACTGCCCTGAATGCATACGTTTGTCAAACAAGAATTAAGCGTATTCTTGCTAATGATTTTATAAATTTCTGTTAAAACTGTCATGAATGCTCCCGTGACGTTTGTGGAATGAAGAGCTGATGGTTCCATAAAGAAGAGATTTTCCCTTGCGAATTCTTGAGCATCTTCAACTAGTACAGCTCGAAGACTTCCTAGATCACATTTGTTCACGATGAGCCTAATAACTATGTTCTTGTCCACATGACCTCTTAGTTCCTCCAGCCATCTAGCCATATGATCAAATGATTGGCGTTTTGGTAAGTCATAGACTAGGATTGCGCCAACTGCACCTTGATAATATGTGCTTGTTACTGCTCTATAGAGCTGAGAGAGAAATGAGAGATGATTCATTGAGTTACAACAACTACCAAATTGGCTATGTTGCTCTGACTCTTCAAAAGAGGATCCTTTGAAAGTAGAGCATTTTGGAGACATCAAGTTTCTCTATATTTTTTTATACCTCTGACAGAACTAGACGACTCCAAGAAAACATAGGACCTAAACTAAACGTTTTAACTCGTAGAACGCATAAACCAGTGATCAGACATTTAGTTTTTTTTTTCAATTTGCTTAGCCTATTTTGATTTGGCACAGTTTTTAAGAAAGTAATTTCTTTTTTAATCTTGTATTAAAAAATTACGGAAAAACTTATTCTTTTGTTATTTAATGGACTAATAAGAAAAATAGGTTAAACAAATTGAAACTGAAAGGATTAACTAATTTGCCATGTTCTGATTTAGTTATCGACTCCACTCAATTCCATTTGATGTTCAAGAATTCAGTCAATATTGTTGCAAGCTAACTCAGAGATTGATACAGTAAAGATTTTAGCTCAATCATCCCTTTCTGGGTCTTTAAATACAACAACATTTTACCAGGTGTTGTTCAAGGTAACAAGCAGAGGTGGATCTACAATATTGTAACCTATGAGTTCACGTGGCCCAATAGCTTTTACCCAGAGACTATGTATTTGATTGTGAACACAGTTATTGTAGGTTTCTATAAACTTCAAATTCTAAATCAGCACTCTGCTTCTAAATTCTTCATTAATTAATTCTCTTCATATATATTGGACAAAAGTTCTTTCAACATTGATTGTGGATTAATATTAGAACATCGAGTAGACAGTTGATGTATATATCAGACTTAACCCTCTCTATCATACATTTCGTTACTCGGATATTGATGTAACGAGTTTAGCTCCATCGTCGCTGTTTTGGTCTTCAAATACCTCAGATGATGTTCAAGGCCTGATCCCCCCCCCCCCCCCCCCCCCCCCCTTTCTTCTACCCTTCTAGTTTTTAGTTTCATGGATTATTTAGTAAATTGTTCCCATTTTGGTCAATGGTCTTTTCTGCATATCATTTCATTGATGGCATTTCAGTTGTGTTAAAAGGACTTGAGAGTGAGTCAGTGGCCCCAACTTCCCACCATGGAGACCTAAGATACTCATGCTACTGACAAAAAATGCTACCACTCCTAGAACTTAGTGAAGATAAAGTGAAAGAGGCAGTTATTTGCACCAAGATTAATGCCATTTTACTCTCTTGTGTTCAGGTTTCTCACGACACAATTGTAGCTGACTGGCATCAGGTGTTCATTGATACCTTTGGGACATATCATCACTTTGAATGGGCAGTTGGAACTGGAGAAGGAAAATGTGATATATTGGACTAATGAAAATGTTGGCTTGAGTGGAAGAGTGCAAGTCAGTGGTCTAGACTTGAGCGGTTTCAATGCCTGCTATATCACTCTACGGGCATGGAAACTAGATGGTAGATGTACTGAACTTTCTGTCAAAGCACATGCATTGAAGGGGTAACAATGTGTACATTGCAGGCTTGTGGTTGGGGATGGTTTTGTTACAATAACAAGAGGGGAAAGCATTAAGAGGTTCTTTGAGCATGCTGAAGAGGCTGAAGAAGAAGAGGTAGTCAAGTTTGTTAGGCTTACTAACTATGCCTCCTGTCTCCACTATGATTGTCTATAGTTGCTTCTTTGGATGGTATGGTATTCTTTATGTCAGAACTTCTCACCTTAGTCAACTGTCAAGCTGCTCTTAGAGCGGCTCTACTTTGATCCTTTTTACTCTTCAGTTTATTTACTTGGTTATAATTATTAATAAAATACTGATTTGCTTTGTTAAATGCCTCTTAAGCAATAGAGAGGTTTATAGTCTGCTTTGCTTGGAATTCTAGCTACTTGCTTCCTGACAATCTTTTTTGCCTGTATGCTGCCTAGTTAAGTAATAGAAATAACTTTAATCATATACTTACATGACTCTGCAAGTAGTATTTCTAGCTACTTCCTTCCTGACAATCTTTGTTTTTTTGTGGTATTTCTAAAAGTTGGGAGACCTAAAACAATGTAACGTAGTAGCTTTATCTTTTTAATGTCCTATGCTTAGTCGTTGCAAGTCTGGTTCTTCATTCCTTCTGTGATGGGGATTTGCTCTGATACACTCTAAAATTACATGAATCTGCCTTGAAAAGTTGAGGTCTCCGTTTCTTGGACCAAGACTTTCTTAGATAATTGAATTTCATCTTTTGGTCATTGTAGTGCTTGGAAGTGTTTTGACACTGAAGTTATTTGCAGGTTGAAAAAGCTTTTAGAGAAGGAACTGCACAGCAAAATGTACATAGCATATTTGTATGTCTTGCATTGAAGTTGCTGGAGGAGCGCATTCATGTTGCCTGCAAGGAGATTGTTACTTTAGAAAAGCAGGTATTAGTAGTTATAATTCTGGTGTAGGAAGTTCTACTTGTGAGATTATTATGCCATTTCCAATTTTCAGAGGCATATTCTAAATCTTTGATAATCTGTGCAGATGAAACTTCTCGAGGAAGAAGAGAAGGAAAAACGTGAAGAAGAAGAACGCAAGGAGAGGAGGAGGATAAAAGAAAAGGAAAAGAAGCTGCGGAGGAAGGAGAGATTAAGAGAAAAAGAAAAGGATAGAGAGAAGAAAAGTTGCGACTCAAACCAAAGTAATTTTGCCCCCGATGATGTTTCAAAGGAGGAATTATCACCTAACGTTGATGAGGAATCTAATCTGATGGGCTATACAGACTCGGTAAGTGAAGCTGAGGAAGTTAATTTATCCAGCCCTTTATCGGCGAATGATGAAGATGATCTACTTTTGGATGGATATAAT